TAAATAACAAGACTGAGCCAGTTGTTCTTCGAGATCTTCTCCAGTTCTTGGGCTATGATCTAATTTACAAACCTATGGTATTTTTTAAATTCAATTTTTATTTTACTTTCAGTTTTGAATTCTCTCCCTTTCCCATTTTTTCCCTTGCCACTGAGAAGGCAGGAAAAATAAAACTCATTAAGATATGTATAGTAATGCAAAACAAACTCCTGTATTAGAGAAAGAGGAGGAGAAAGAGACGGAGAAAGAGGAGAAAGAGAAGGAGGAGAAGGAAGAGAAGAAGGAGGAGGAGGAGAAGGAGAGGAAAGAAGAGGAGTACACCCTTCAACCTGCCCTCAGAGTCCATCAGCTCTCTGTCTGGAGGTGGGCAGCATGTTTCATCATGAGTCCTTTGGAATTGTGGTGAGTCATTAGGTTGATCAGAGTTCCTAAGTCTTTCAAAGTTGATTATTTTTACAATATTATTGTTACTGTATAAACTGTTCTCCTGATCCTGCTCACTTCACTTTACATAAATCTTCCTAGGTTTTTCTTAAACCATCCACTTCATCATTTCTGACAGTACAACAGTATTCTATAATATTTATATGCTATGACTCGTTCTGCCATTCTCCAATTAATGAGCATGCCCTTGGTTTCCAATTGTTTGCCACCACAAAAAGAGCTGCTATAAATATTTTTACCATATGGGTGTCTTTTTCCTCTTTGATCTCTTTGGCGATAGGCCCAGTAGCAATATTGCTGGGTCAAAGGATTATGTACAATTTAATAGCTTTTTGGTCATATTTCCAAATTACTTTTCAATCTAGCTCAACCAGTTCACAGCTCCACCAACAATGCATCAGTGTGCTTGTCCAAACCTATGGTCTCATAATATGTTAATGAGAATTGTCAGTAAAAAGTTTTAATCATATTTATTCATTTCTAGGTAAAGTAAAACATCAAACTGACTTTTTTCTTGGGGGGTAATTTTTTTTTAAATTTTGCCCTAAACTTGTGTCTTCACTGGTAAAGGAGACACCCAGATAGGAAATTCCCTTTCCCTTTATAAATCCCATCTGCCTGACCTTGGACAAGTCATTTCCCCTTTTTTGGTCTCAGTTTCCTCCTCTGTAAAATGAGGGGACAGACAATATGGCCTTTAATGCTCTTTCCAGCTCATCATTAGAATCTAAGGATCTGTGACTCTTCAGTTATTTAGAGAGTTTTCCGGGGCCCAGACAGAGATGACAAATGATTTGCCCAGCGTGATGCAGACGGTACTTATGAGAGATAGAGGAACATGAACTCAGGCCTTCCTTTTTCCTCACCAAGCTCTGCTGTTTCTCTGTGCTTAGAATCACAGCATTGTTAGAATTGGGAGGATCCTCTGTTTGATGGCCCCATTTTACAGATGAAGGAGCAGGAAACATTGAGGGGAAGGAGCAAACCTAAGAAAGGACGAAGGGGTTTGGGAGCGGGTGCTGGCCTGCATTGGTCAGAGGGAGTCCCCTTTCTCAGGGAGTATCAATGAAATCATGGGTGCAGCCCCTAACTCCCATCCTAGACCATTGTCTTGCCAACAGGAGAGCAGGCAGAGGGTTAGCTTATGATACCATTCACAAGAAAAATCCTTCAGGTCAAAAAAAAAAAGGACTCATCCTTTCCAGCATACTAAGAAAGCTGAGTGAAAAACGCATACTACTACTCTTCCCTAACTTATAAATAAACCATAGGGCGCCTCCTCCAGGATGCCATCATCCTTTCTCACATAGTCAATCATTATCACAAGTCATGAGCATAGGATCAGGAACTGGGAGGATGTGGAGAAATCACCTGGACCAACTCTCTCCATTTTACAGATGAGGAAACTGCGACCTGCCACCAACCATACAGGCAGTAAGTAAGAGAGCTGAGATTCAAGCCTGGGTCCTTCCTCTGACTCCAAACTCAATGCTCTTTTGACTATACTGTTGTGTAAAGATGCATTAACAACCCATTTTACAGAGTGGAGTTGATGGTCTAAAGATTTGGCATAATCTACCAGTAACCATCAGAAGTGAGATCCCTTGTGATCTCTTGCTAAAAGGCCACTAAACTGTTGTCTCTTCCTCTAGTTGAAAAACCTATCTGATTAATTCTGATTATCCCACTGCATTTGGATCTCAGAAACTCTATAACATGTTCATTTTCTTTTCCGGAATCCTCAGATGTTCCAATGACCATCCCTAAATGGCTCAACTTAGATGTTAATGGCCCTAGGACCTCATCAATTACTGTACCCCCTCCAACAGTGCAGATGAATGAATGAATGAATGAAAAAAGCCTTTATTAAGTCCTTCTAGTGTGCCAAAATATGAGCAAAGTGATAAAGATAGAAGCAGAGAAGTAAAACAACCCCTTCCCTTAAAGATCTCACATTCTAAGAGATGGCACCAATATCCATACAGGAGGGGTCTGTTGTAGGACAGATGGCAAGGTCCCCAAGTCCTTCAAACGCACCATCTATAGATTCCCCAGGGTAAGAGGCCTGAAGGGGATGAGCCCACTACTCCTGGGAAGGGGGGACTGGCAGTAAGGATCAGAATGAAGCAGAGAGTCTGGCCTCAGGACCCTCCGACAAGGCTGCAGGAGTGGGGGTAATGACAGGAGCTTGGGGGTGGAGAGTAGGGATCTGGAAAAGGGCTGCTGGCCCTGAGTGGCCCATCCTTGGTCATTCTTACCTGTGTCCTTCCATAGATGATGGAGGATCTGCCCAATGCCCTTAGGACCTTCTCCTAGGTGCCTGACCATTCAGTGTGTACCAGTGCAACGCTCAGGCTGTCCACCTCTCATCCTTTGCCCTTACGACATCACCAGCCCATCTTCCCTTTCTTCTTTTTACCCCAAACTGCCACATGTGACATTGTTAAAACTTAAGTGAAACACTCGGAAAACATATTCAATGAGTGACGGACTGAAGGAGAAGATTCCTCTGGTAGCACAGATCCGGGGTGAATTCCACGACCCTTTTGCTCTCCTGCCAAAGCCTATACTTTGGGTGTAGCTGGTCAGTCAACAAGCATCTATTAAGCACCTACTATATGCCAGGCACTGTGCTAAGCACAAGAGATACAGAGGTCCCTGCTTTCAAGTGGCTCACATTCTCAGGAGGAAAAGAACATGTAAATAACTTTGTACAAACAAGGTAGAGACAGGATAAATTGGAGAGGATCTCAGACGCAAGGCACTGAGGTTAGGGAGGCTGTCCGTCCAGGTACGGTCTCCCTTCAGTGTCTCAAACTCACGCATAAGTGAGCCCCTCAAATGAAGTCATAGGGATAGTCTGAGCATTTGGGGGTCTGGATACATCCTACACATGCTGAGGTCTGGCCAAGCAACCTGTACACCTTTGCACTAGCTGTGCCTTCCTTCTAGAGTGCCTTCCCTCCTCGTCTCTTCTCTTAGAATCTCTAGTTTGTCTCTAGTGGCCCCTTCTAAATGAAGTCTTTGCTGATTCACTCCCATCCCTGACAAGCTGACTGTGCTCCTCACCCCCTTGCCAAAATACCTCGTACTGGTTCTGAATAAATCTTGTGAATTCTATGTCAGTGTTTTCTCCCCCAAGAGAATGTAGCCTTTGGCTGTTGTATGCCAATAATCACAAATTGCCTAGCATATAGTAAGTACTTAATAAACGTTTGTTGGTTGTGGGACATTCCCAGTGCCTAGCACAGTGGATGGAACATAGTATTAATCAACACTTATTCACTGACTGGGGCTCCAAAGACCTGGGTTCAAAGCCCCATCTTTTCCCTCACCATGTAGAGTCCATCAAACTTTGGCCTCCCTTCAGGGACTGACCCTCACGTTTGTGTGAACCCCTAGCCTGATGTTACCCATGGAGTCAGAGGGTCCTGCCAGCACCAGGGACGTGCTCTCTCTAACAGCTCAGTTACAAGAATTGGAAACTGGTCAATTATTCTCTTCCTTTGGAGATGGCAATTGTGATAATTATTGTCTCCCTGCCAGAGATGTGAGTGTGTCTTATTGAATGGCCCAGCATGGAACCTCCCCCAATATCTCATCTCCCTCTCTTCTGGAGCAAAATCATCCCACCAGCATTGATGGATTGAAATCAGGGGGCAGCTTCTCCCCATCCCCTCCTTCCAAACCCAGCTCTCAAAGCATTGGAAATGAAATTCTGGGGATAGAGGAAGTCCTTATCCCCTTCCCTGAGCCTTCTTGATTCAGTGTGAAGCCTCACAAACAATATTTAAAAAACACAAAGCAGAGGAAAATGGTTATATTGTATCACTAGCAAGACAGCTGGAATTCACTTACACTGAGTATCCCAAGATACCATTTGGAGCCCGCCTTCCAAGAGCCATCAACAGAGTGCCCCCTTGCCTCCAGTTTTAACCACAGACAAACAATACAACTCTTGTTCAGACACACGATAGCTTAGGGAAAACTCCCTTTTGGTTCTGTCCTTGACCAACCCTTGTTGACAAGTTCCCATTGGTGTTTTCTGTACAAATGCCACTAGGGTTTGGTCACCCCCTCTTCTGCTCATCTATTTCCAATGACTGTACCCCGGGGTGGGGGAACACATCTTAGAAACACTTTAACAAATGGATACACCCCTTGTGACACATAGGCACCTATCTCTGGCTTTTATCTCAGGACTCACATTCTCCAAACCCTCCCACCAAAAGGAGAAACATCTCAATGCTAGTTGGAAAAGCTTGCCAGGCAACCCGAACAAACGCAGGTTGAGGATCCAGGAATCAAGGACAGAAAAGCTTCCAGACCTTCTGAAATCGGTTCTCACAGGATGGTGACATAAGGTATTTTTATCAGAAAAGATTCGTGCAACACCTCCCCATTGTAACCTACAGACAGCGCCGGGGCTGGTGACAGATGCCCCCAACCCCAGTATACTCTCCACCAAACACACTCTTCTGCTGAATCAAACAGGGAGGTGGGGGAACCCCTCCCCATCCCTTCAGACCTGGGCCCCCAAGAAGAAACCTTCTTACTTGCTCAGGCTTCTCGGGCTCTTTTCTGTCTGTCTGTAGAAACTGGCAGTTTTCTCTGGCGAGTTTCTGGACGAGTTCGATTCGCCCGATGTCATCCCTCTCCTGAAGCTTGCACATCACTCCTGCCTTGAGGGTTGGAGAAAGAGCAAAAATGTACTTGAATCCACAGTCCCAGGACATGGCCCTCCTCCCAGTGGAACGTTACAATGGGAAGCTCATCTTTGGAGGGGCCACTTGGCCTTAAATCACGGCTCTGGTCGATTTCTCGGGCCCCGGAGAGGAAAGCGCCCGCCGACCCGATGTCTGTCTATATGGCCTTTAAGACACCGAAGGGCAGCCCTCACTGCAGTCAACTGCTACTCTGTGTGTGTGCCTGATATGCTACCGTTTGTTTGTTCCTGTCAGCCTGTTTCCTGTTACATAAGCAAAGCCTAGCAAGAGGTTAAAAACTCATGGGAAAGTTAGCCAGGAACCTCTCTGGCGCTCAAGAAAAAAAAAAAAAAAGATGAAACCATGAGGCAGGGTCCTAAAAATAACCCAGCTGACTCTCCCATTCTATAGGGTTTCTACTACATGGGTAAAACATAGTGGTTATAAAAAAAATTGTAAGCTAATCATTTCCCTTACAACTGACAAATTATCCTGAGAGAGGAATGAAATTCCTCCATTTAATTATTTTTTTTCCTGAGACACATCCAGGATAACAAATTGACTTTAAAGTGGGAAATTAACTTGGGGACAGGGTGGCATTGTGGAGGGAACACTGAGTTGGGAGGTGGAAGGCTTGGCGTTTTGGTCCAGGCTCTGCCCCTTCCTAGCTGTGTGACCACGGATAAGCCCCTGAGCCTCTCTGGATCCCAGTTTTCTTTGCGGTGGGATAAGAGAGTAAGACTGGATGACCTCGAAGGTTCCTTCCTGCTCTAAATCTATGAACCTGGGAACTAGACAAAAGCTGGAAAAGAAGAAATTGGCAAAATACTGAGAAGATACCTTCTAGAAGAGGTGCATGGTGTTTAATTAGTCTGGGGTGCACCCAGAACACTGGGAAAATCAAAATTTCTTATGAAATGCTTTGAGACCAGGGCAAAGATGACAGGACAAAATGCAACTCTGGGTTGAATTCTCCACAGTTCCCAGTGGCCCATGATTGTACTCGATGACAACTTTGAAGCCAGGCTTGGCCAGAGTAGATGGAGGTATTGTTCTCTGCACTACAATAGAAGCCATAGAACTGGACTTTATTACATCAAGATCTGTTTCTGATGACTACATGTAGGAAGTGGGCGGGGGGGGGGGGGAAGAAGAGGAGAGTAAGCACGCCACGATAGTAGCAAAGAACAGTGCAAAGATTGGGCAATTTTCCCTCAAGTTACTTCCTACAACACTCTTGGCTTTAAACATTTATGATCAAGGGGAAGTATTGGAGACTGGACAATACCAATTCTATTGGGCTTAACAGAGAAAGGATACTACTCCAACACCCTTAAATAGGCAAGAGTGTCCTCTTAGCCCAATGAAAAAACCCAATCAACGTGCATTTATTAAGTACCTACTGTGTGCCAGACATGAAACTAGGTCCTGGGATATAAAAACAGAAATTTAATGGTTTCTTTCCTCAGGGAGCTCACCTTCTGGGTAGGGAGAAAATATGAACCTATATAAGTTCATACAAAAGTCAGTACGATGGTGATGGCCCAGAATGCAGTGGATGACCTCGGCATCTTCCATGTCTGACCAAGCTCTGAGTGCTTCACAGCACCTGCTTCAACCACCTTCATGGCCACTGAAACAAATTCTTCCCATCTGCTCATTCCACCAGGAGAAGTTCCCATGCTTGGGATAGACATCCCTTAACTCACCGATGGGTTTGAGGCTTGCTGGTTACCCTCATCTTGGTTTAGCCCAGTTTTACCCGAGACTGGTTTTATCAGGGTGTAGAGGATATTCAGGAAGGACCAGCACCTCTGATGTGAGGGCTGCTGACCCCCGTCCAGAGCCGCTCACCCACCTTTGGTGTCCACCTTCACTCAACTCTCACCCATGGCTCCAAGAAGCTGTAGCATGTGCAGCGGCCACACCCCAGTAAAACTGGCACATGGTAGATGCTTGATAAATGTTTATTGACTGATTGATTCAATTTCTTCATCTGTGAAGTGGGGCTGATAATACCGTGTGTTCAATGTTGTGCAATCCTTACAACGCTAATTTAATACTAGTCATCGCCACTATCACTAACAATGAAAGTACTGCAGAAGTTCTAACATAAGGAATTTCCTTTCCTCCCATTCCGGTCAGGGACCAGCTCTTTTTCTTCTGTTGCTGATCCAAGACACAGGCACTGCTGGTCTAATTCCAGGAAAGCCCCGTTCAGCTGCTCAAAGTACTCCGAGTACTGGGCACAGACAGTTCTCATTTTATATAAATTCACATTACACACATTCTACTCTACAGAAAGCATTCTGAAAGAAATCTGCATTCCAAAAGAATCCCCATGTTAACTCTACTGTCCAGCACTGCACTCTCCACCTGGCCCAGCACTAAGCAGCCTCCCCACCACCAGCACCAAAAAAGCCCTAAAAATGTAAACAAAACCCTCCAAGGGAAAGCAGAACTGATGTGCAGAGAGACTGCCATTGCAGCTGGAAACGGGGCTTGGCTTGAGACCTCTGGCACCTCCAAAGACCTTTGCCCCACTCCACCCAGTAGCACGTCTTCCTTGGCTCGCACACATCCTTGAACCTCCTGTTGGCCCCCTCCCTCCACAGGTGCACAGCCCATGTCCTGCCTCCCTCCCTCCTTTATCCACATCTGAGGGCAATTTCACATTATATAAGAAATACTTTACAGAGAGGTCTACAGGATGGTCCACTTACATAAAGCGAGGACTGTCTGTATTTTCCATCTGTTTGATGATATCTTGGAAGTGTGAGCCATTCATTAGAGCAATAAAGGTGCTCAACCATAACCATAGCTACCTAATTCATAGGCAGGCGTAGATGCTGACCCAATCTAGAAAATTAATGAGGTTTACAGGCTGGTTTTCCTGTGTCTTCACAAGGATCAACATTCTCTCCATTATGAGATGAGACAAGATGGCTCGAGGTAGAAAGACTTGGGTTCAAATCATGCTCCTGAAATTTCCTAGCCCAGTGACTCCGGCCATCCCATTTCACTTTCAGTTTTCTTATCTGTGAAATGGGTACAGTATTTCCTATAGTACCCACCTCAGAAGGTTGAAGTTGTCTACAAAGCTCTTTGCAAACTTTAAACCATAATGTAAATGGCAGTTATGATATGACACTGTTGTGGTTATTAAGATAGTGATAGTGTTGCATTCCCATTAGGGCACTGGGCCTTTGGCTTTGACTTCTCAAAAGTGGGGATGGATTTACACCATCTAACCTCTTTCTAGTCAAGTTTCCCTTACCCATAAAATCCATTTTTAAGATGACCGACCTAGCTCAGGAGAGCCACACACAGCTCTGCACCCCACAAAGCCAATGGGCTTCTCTCCCATTGCAGGATCAAACCCAATATTTTGCCTCCATGGTACAATATTTGAACCAACAATGCTCAGCAGAGATTGATAGTGGCGGGGATTTTATGAAGCATCCTTTCCTTGGGCCAAGGAGCCCAGAGTCAGACTTTGGGTAAACAGGATTATTAGCTGTATTGTGAGGGGATATAAAAAGTCCTGTCTGTCTGGGATGTCTGCGTTTTACAGCTTTTAAGAAACAATGCGAGTTCCTCATCTGATGTGGTTGTGACTCTAAGCATAGCATTTGCTTTCATTAGGAAATGCATATTTTTACATGTACCTGGAGACGTGGAAACACTTGATGAATGCAATGGAAAAAAGGTACACACCATTACTTTTTAAAATGGACTTCCACAGACTCAGACGGCCACGTCAGCTGCTATTCCGAGAGCTTGATATTTTCATAATTAAAGGAAGAAAATTGCGCACATGATTTTCTGATTTCGGCAGTAGAATTAACTTTCGAAAATGCAATTTTGCATGGTGATTAGCTCGAAAGTTCTCATTACATAATCACCAACCAAGCAGACTTACAGCGAAGACAGGTCATGTTAGCTCACCGATTCCCTAGAGACCTTTCAGGCTCAGATAGGCATCCATATGCCTGGGATGGCTTATAAATGTAGGCCTTCCTAAAAGCAAGAGGCGTAACCAGATGTTCTCTTGGGGTCAATTCGAGGACTATAATTTAGTGACATTTCCAGAAACCCATGACTTCATTAATTCACTTTGGTGGCCAGACTCCTGTTCAGTCCCTGTGATAACCACAAGAAACCAGGATCTAGAGTTCTGCCATCCTGGTCTATTTAATTTATTGATATGAAACAGAGTTTACTGAATGCTGATGAACCAGAAGAATCATGGATTAATGGTGAGACTGTCAAAAGAAGCATCTTATTTTAGGTTCTTTAAAAGGAGGAGAATAAAGTCACCCTCTGAATTCCAGGCAAACTGACTTAAAAACTTCCTTGAACTCATCATATGGTTTCCTACCTCCATGTCTTTGTATAGGGCTGATCCCCATGCCTGGAATGTAAGAATCTCTAATTTCCTTCAAGTTTCAGCTCATAAGTCACCTCCTTCAAGAAGGTTTTCTGGATCCTCCTAATTATTAGTGCTCCCCCCTCTACCATGTCTTTTGTATTTGAGACTGCTGGGTAGTGCAAGTGGATGGAGTGCTGGGCCTGGAGTCAAGAAGACCTGAATTCAAATCTGGCTTCAGACATTTACTAGCCCTGTGACTCTGGGCTAGTCACTGTAAACTCTGTCTGCCTCTGTTTCCTCAACTGTAAAATGAGGATAATAACAGCACCTGAATCCCAGTGTTGTTGTATGGATATAATGCAATCATATTTGTAAAGCACTTTGCAAACCTTAAACAGCTATGGGAATGCTACAGATTATTATTATTATTTATCTACCTATGGATTTGTTTTTCTTCCAATAGAATACACACTCTGTAGGAGCAGGGGCTGACACATACCTACTTCTCTATCCCATTTTTGCCTGTCTTTTTATCCTCAGAGCTTAGCACAGCGCCTGACACGGATTTGGCATTTAATAAACATTTGTTGACTTGACTTTCATCTCCAGCACTTGCTCACTGCCTGCCTTATAGTTGGTGCTTAATAAATGTTGGCTGACTTGAACACACTTGAAAGTGGTTGGTTTAATTTTCAGTGGAGCGGTTCATTCTCTATGGCAACAAAAAATTGCCTTCCATTCTGATTACGGTAGCAAATCTGTCCACATCTTTTTGTCTCAAGATGAGACTTTGTGTTATCGATCAACAGCCAATAAGCTTTTATAAATTGCTGACTATGTGCTTGGGACTGTGCTGAGTACTGTGAATTCAAAGAGAAAAATGAGAGCTCCTAGTCAAGGGGCTTACATTCTATTGGGAGTAAGTGACATCTGCATATAGAAGCATATTCAAAATAGATACAATGTCATGGGGGGAGGGGTGTTAGGAATGGCTCCATCAGGAAATGTGAGATTCTCCAGGGAAAGGCTTAAACAATGAGAAATGACTAATCTTCAAGTGAGGAAAGGTCAAATGCCTCTAACCTACAAAAGCACTATTTGCTTTTTTTCTATGTTCAACTTCAAAAAAATACAAGTTCCAAAATCCTTTTTCTAAAATACCAAGTTGAGTCAGCTTGATGTGAGCAACAGCTCTCAAAGGCATGCCAATGGGGGCTCCAAAGGCCAACTCTCCTCTCTATCCAGCAGCCTTCATTGGCTGCTGCTTCTGAAATTTACAACATAAATGAATGTAGTTAGGAAACAAAATGCTCTGCCAACTTTAAAAAGAAGATCCTCAAAGGTGGAAATTTTGGGAACAGTATTTTAACTTATTCAAGTAGTAAATAATAAGAAGAAAAAGATACTAAGTAACAACAGCTCTCATTTCTGGTGGGACATGAGATTTATAAAACGCTTTGTTCATGTCAGCTCTATGAGAGAGACAGTGTAATCATTATTACCCTCCAATTTGCAGGCGATCGGAATTGCTTCCGAATGCAGATGTTAAGTGTCTTGAAAGGTCTTTGAACTCAGGTCTCCCGGCTCCAGGCTGAGTGCTCTATCTACTATGCCACACTGCCTGCCTCTCTCTCAATGGACCGTGGATGAAAGGATCACTGACTTACAATGGGAAGGAGGCTCAGCTGCCTCCTTAATGCTCTTCTTTACGTTTCGGTACATTCAGAAGACACAACTTCCATTTATCTTATTAGGATAGCAGTTCCTTTAATCATAAAAAATGCCTAATAGAGGCTATGGAAACACTGACAGTGCCCATTCCTTGGGACGTGAGCATCTGTGAGGAGAGTCAATGAAGACCAAATGTACCCTCTGGCAAACTGGATACTGGAAAGAAGAAACACTAAGGACAGTGTATAATAAGGAAAGGGCATGACAGAACACGTGAATAAGGGTGAAAATGAGAATAACATTTCCATATTCATGTTAAGGTTTGCAAAGCATTTTCCATGTGTTATTATATTTGATCCTCATGACAATCCTGGGAGTTAGGAGCTATTATTATGCTCATGTTCTACGTAAAGAAACTGAGGCTAAGAGAGAGTAAGACTTGCTCAAGGTTGCACAACTGAGTCTTTGGAGCAGGATTCAAACCCAGTTCTTCCTGACTCTAAGCCCAGCATTCTGCCCACCGTACCACCTGGATGCCCAGATAGGTTTGGACACCACTGGAACCTCCCTCTAACACCGTCCCCCACATCCAAGCTGGGTTGTCATTGAACTTTAGAGCTTAGGGTTTGAAAGGTCATTGAGTTTAGCCTCTTTGTTTCTATAGATGAGGAAGCTGAGCCTCAGAGAGGCTGTAACTCTTCCAAGGTCACCCACTTAGTAGGTCAATGAGGTCCTGAAAAATACATTTTGCTTGTGACTTTGTTTTTTTTCCTGGGTGGGTGTGGCCAAAGAATTTGTCGCCAAGTGATTGGTTTATCAGGTCTAAGTATTTTTGGTACCTAGCTTAGCCGGGCCTCAGACAACTAAATCAGGAGGTCACTGGGAACGTATGCAGAACCCACTGAACGTGAAACAGCCTGCCACAGCTTACGTTCCCCTGATGTGGCCTTGGAGAAGCCCAGATTGACTCCACGGGGCTCAGGCGGCAAGAATGGGGAATTACCTCGGGTTGCACTGGTACCCCCAGGAAAGAACAAATCCTCTGGCCAGAGCCCCAGCAAGTTGGGAAGATGCCTTGCAGGGGCTTGAGAGGGATATGTGGCCAAGAACTGGAATAGGTGGATTCCATTCTTTAACGTTGGAGGGGAATCCCAGATCAAAGACTGGTGGATCAAAGACCACCAGTTCACTGATGCATCTGATAAAACAAACCTGTTTTCAGGTAGGAAATAAATATGCTTTTAACATCAAATTTCCATCTCAAGAATAGTATTATCCCTAATGGATTTAAACCCTGCCTTTGCCATTTAACTGTGTGACCCTGGACAAGTCCCCTAAGCTCCCTTGGCCTCAGCAAACCGTCTAAGATGGAAAGTTACGGATGGGTTGTGGTGTGCATCAGTGGGAGGAGTTCAGATACAGATGATTCCAATGAAATCAGAGGCCCTCGGCCTACTGATATCTTGAGAAAATGGGAATGTGGAAATGGAGGAATTTATGAAGAGAGTAATCTGAAAGCTCAATCTGTCAGTCACGTGTGAGCTTAGAGAGGAAAGGCAGCATGACCTGATGGATTTGGGGTCAGCCTTGGAAGCAAGAGGTTCTAGGTCCTTGTTCTGCTTGTGACGTAACCTAACTGAGTGACCACAAGCAGGCTGCTCATTCAGTACTCTAGGCAACTCTTTCGGATGATATGCTACAGACAAATCACCAATCTGTATCAGTGGAGGGAGCGTCCATGCTGGGAGTTCCCTTCATGGATTAAAAACCACAGGTCCATAATCCCCTCCCCCACTAAATAAATAGACCAATAAATCAAATTTGGACATGGCAGCAATTATCCAAACAGAAAGCAACTTCAAAATAGGAATTTTTCTAGAAATGACATCCCAACACCAACTCAGAAGAACCAACCAAGCTCTTGACAATATCACCTACTCGTGGCAGAACTCTGTGGTCAAGAAAAGAAAGTTGGCCACGGTGTCCATCTTTAAAGGGCATACTTTTGGCCTAAAGTGAACAACAGTTCAAACTAAGCCATTCAGAGTTTTCCTGATGCAAGAATATTTGGGGCTCAGCTGCATCCGCCTCCGGCTGGATTTACTCGCCATGTCTGAAATGTCATCGAAATGTCATGGCTACCTCTGCCAAAGAGAGCCCGACTCAGCCCTCCAGCTTGGTGCCCTTCTCTTATCCCATCTCTAACACTAAGGTTAAAGATTTCATTCCCAGCAATATGGTTTTGTTTACTCAAGGCAAGGGCGATGGATCGATATCGGTTTAGTAATACCCCCATCCCAAGTGAAGCACTCCCCAGCCCCAGGATAGGGGAAGGACACATTATCATCTAGAGCAATACTTAGAGCTTCCCATACCTGGGAGTCGGAGAGGCCGTCATCCTCAGACACGGTCGTCTGTGCGTCCTCACTCTCTTCCTCTCGATCGAGAGCTAAAACAACAAACAAAGGGGGTGCTCAGAAGGAAATAAACAAGTCAAATATGTTTTGTTTGTGGGGAGGGTTAGGGTTTGGAAAGCATTGATTTTCTGTCAACTCAGTTCTGGGGAATACATATTTTTAAAGGTAATATTACCACAACTGTTTCTGCCTCTGGCAGATCAGTGGTCATGGAAAAAGAAGTAGTCAGCATACAAGCCTCACCCCCATTTCAACAAAGCCTGAGTCAACAGGATGATTTCAGTAATTAGCAGGGGATAGGGGAAGAATAAGAGATGTTTGTCAGTGGCAAGGAGATGACGGTATATGAATTCTGAATTCTCCAATCGACATCTTTTTTTAATACCTAGATTTTTCTAAAAATAAGTTTCATTGATCTTGTTCTTTTAACATCCATTTGCACAGGGTCCCATTTCCCATTCCCTTCCCTTATGATTAAAAAAAAAAAAGAGGGAAAAAAAACCTTCAGCAAAACAAACGAACATACTGAAAAAATCTGTCATAATATTCAGTGTTCCACACCCATGGTTCCCCACCTCAAGCTTAGCCAGGATAATCTCGCAGTGTTCAGTTCTGAATGTTTTGTGGTTGGGGGAATCCCCCTGGTTCTTCTCACTTCACTTTGCATCAGCTCATCTAAATCTTCCCAAGCTTCTCTGTATTCATCAAAGTCATATCTTTTCCTTATGTTGCAGTAATAGCTCATTACAGTCACATACTACAATTTGTCAAACCATTCCCCAATCAATGAGCATTTACTTTGTTTCCAATTCTTTGCTATAAAAAGGGCTGCTCTAGGCATCTGGGGGCATGTGGGGGCTTTCTGTCACTCACCTTTTTGAGGTACAGCCCCAGCAGAGGCATCTCTGGGTGACAAGATATGCTCATTGTTGTGCTATTTGCCTAGTTCCAAATTGCTTTATAGCATTGGATTCGTAATTCCAGCCTAGCATTTGATTTCTCAGATATAGATCACTCACTTCTGTGCCTCAACAGAATTCCAAGGTGCAGCTTCTTTTCCACTTTTCATCTAATCCAAACCGTCTTTGTTGTGTACCTATTTGAGGATGCTTTCCCCCGTGCTGGTCTTCCCACTTTCTGGCTCTTTCATCTTCCTATCTGTCCCACATAAAATGGTTAGAATTCTCTTCCCCATTACAGTGCCTGGCACATAGTAGGTGCTTAATAAATGCTTGTTTGGTTAATCGATAGGTAACCTTCAGTCTCTTAACTTCACCTCTCATTACTTCCCATTCTTTCACAGACTCACAGAAGAGCTAAGTTAGAAGGGTCCTCTGTAGCCTCATCCAACCCAGGACCCAAAAGAATCCCTATCCTTCCAACTATTATGCACCGTCTGATTACTCTCCACCTCATATGCCTCTCTCTTCTTGTGTCTGGTCTTTTCCCCCCCAATTTCAAACCAAATTACAATTCCTGTCCCCTGTTTTTACTCCTTTCTTCAAAAGCCAAATCTGAGGAGCATTGTGGGGAACCATGGATTTGGAGACAGAGGACATGAGTCAGAATCCCATCTCAATCACCTTCTGTCCAGTGACCTTGGGCAAATCACTTCACTTGCCTTTGCCTCAGTTTCCTGATACATAAAATGAATACTTCAGGATTTCTTAACCTGGGGTTCATGATTTTAAGATAGATAGATAGATAGATAGACAGATAGATAGATAGATAGATAGATAGATAGATAGATAATTACATTTCAGTAAAATGAGTTTCTATGGTAATCCCATGTATTTTATTTAACAGGACTCTAAGAAGGGGTCCATAAATTTCATCAGGTTGCCAGAAGGGTCCATGACACAAAATGGGTGAAGAACCTTTGCCCCAGATAACTTCATAGGTCCCTTCTAGGGAATCTCAGGAAGGAAGGAAATACTCATTTATTAAACACCTACTGTGTGCCAGGAATTATACTAAGCACTCTACAAATATTATTTCATTTGATCCTCACCACAATCTTGAGATAGATGCTTTTATGATTCACATTTTACAGATGAAGAAACTGAGGCAAACAGATTAAGCGACTTGCCCAAAGTCACACAGCTATTATCTGAGGCCAGATTTGAACTCAGGTCTTCCTGATTCCAGGCCCAGCACTCCCTCTATTGTACCACCAAGTTGCACCTCTGTCCCTATGATCCTTCCTTAACTGATCCAGCTGGCTCAGACTACATCTCTACTATATTCATAGGTTCCATTTACCTCAGTAATTTTTTTTAAATGGAAAAAATCTGGTTTCACCAATATGGGAATTTCATTCACTAATGCTGAGTGTGACTCCTCCCTGCCTTAGTATACAGCTTTCAAGAGTAGCTGTGGCCAAAGTATTCATCGTCTGCGGGTCATCTTTCAGGGGCAGTCTCTTGGCAGAGGGCTCCTCCTACAAAGGGCCTGTCATAGCTCAGGAAGGCTCTACCACCATGGCTGGCCAGTGTGGTAGGACCTGATGGAGCATATGCTTGGTTTAGATGGTCTTAGAGAATCCAGCTACTCTATGGTGGTAAACCTGAGCAAGGCAGTGTGTGAGGCAGCTAGTAATGAACGTTTGGGTTTACATTGCTTTTGCCTCTGCTAGAGTCTTCCTCTGGCCTCCCTCACAGGATGGGGGTAGTCTCCGGGTCCTGATGGCTTTGTCCACAGTGTTCAATAAACGCTCACTGGCTGCCTTGAGGGATTGAAATCTGCCATGGGGGAGGGAGGCCCCATGCCTACCAAATCAGACTTTGGAGGTTTTAGCCCTTCATTGACACCATTCCATGAGCATTTCATCTCTCCTACCAGACTGAGTTTCTCCCAGAAGTTGGCTGCATTCACTGTTTCCTGGCTGCCCTCAGCACAGTGGGAAGAGAGCTCAATTCAAAGACTCTGAGTGTGAATCCTGGCTGGGCCACTCACTACCTGTATGACCTAAGGTAAGTTGCTTCATCTCTCCTGGCCTCAGTCTGCTCACCTGCAAAATAGGGGGGTCAGCCTAGATGGCTCCTGGGGCCCTTCCCAGTTTTGGACCCCGGATCCTGGGCTATGGTCTTGTAAGTTCTTATCCCCTGCCGTATTCTGAGGCCCTCAACATGTGGTGGCTAGAGGAAAAGGAGCCATCACGGGAACAACATTGGAATGCACGTGAAAGCCCAGGTTTACAAAACCATCCTACAAATCCCTCAGATCCAAATGGCCTTCATCCCTATTATATTTACTGGTCTAATCTCCCTGCTTTAGCAAAGTGCTTTCCTGTAGAAAGAGGAAGGGCAGATTGTGTGAGTAAATTCCTCGGATAATGCATCAGCCCCTCCAGCTGAGCCTTGGAAGGCCAGGTGAGAGCAGTCGGGGCAAGCCTGCTTTGTCACTTTGCAGCCAACAGGTTTTTTCGTGCCTCTAACCCAGGGGCTGCTGGAGCTCAGGCCGCCTGGGCGTGGAGGAATGGAAGCCCGAGAAAACAAAGCTTATTTCCTCTGAAAGCTGGGGCGGGGAAGCTGCATAAAGGGCTAAGTGCAGGGCAACAAATTCCACTTAATAGTGTATAAAAGCCCGGTGCCAGGAGTTTATTCATTGAAAGTGTGGGCGGCCCAGAAACCTGCTTTAAACCAGATTTAAGAAGAGGCATTATTGAAAACATGCTACATGTGGGGTGGGTCCTACACTGGGGAGTCAGTGACGGGGCTCCCGACACCTTTTTGGAAAACCTCTGGGAAACTCATATCCCATTTCTGCACCAAGTCCTCACTGAATTCTGGCAATATTGATTTTCAATATTGTTGAAGTTAGCAAGGCCAGATCATGGACTCCTAAAATCTGTGATCTCGTCTACAACCAGCCATCTCTGGTCCTTTAAGCCACCAGGCTCTGAGGGACACAGGGTGGGCATCCTGATGGGCAGGGCCTGGCACATAGTAAGCACTATAGAAATGTTAGCTATTGTCATTATCATCATTATAGAGCAGGAAAATAATAATGGCTTCCTCCCAGGGTGGTTGTGGGGATCAAATGAGATAATAATTGCAAAGCATTTATTGTGGTGCCTGGTGCATAGTAGGTGCTATATAAATGTTATTATTATTATTAATATTCATCCCTTCTCAGAAGGATATGAATAAGTGAATAAGAAAAATTGCATAGGATTACAAAGGAAACTAATTACAGTAAAATATAGCTGTCAAAATATTTTTTAAAAGAGTATATATTACAGCTGAATTTTTGATCATTATAGGAGGAGGAAGTGAATATGTACTTACTTATAAGAGAGTTCCCTATACCAATGATATCACAGGTCCACACAAAAAGACAAAGGAGGAGCTCAAAGCACTTTGTAGATTCACTTACTAATGCCCATCCTACCCCTCCATGAGGCCAACGGCATTCAAAGCCCTCCTACCTGACTTCACATGTTCTATCCCTTTGTCCCCCCAAAATCAAAATTCTTTGTCAAACCAGTGTCCTGACTTGGGGTTAGGAAAATATCCACACATTCTTTCCCCCTTCACCCCCAGCCATCAGGTAAATAGGAGGACATAATTGCTTCTGCTTTACAGAGGAGCGGGTGTCAGCCGGGAAGGATGAAAGGGGCCTGGCCTAGGCTTCTCTGCTGGACGTCCCCCTTGTGTGGCACAGAGAGGGCTCCTCAAAGGTTTGGCAGGCTCTTCATGCCTAACCTCAGCATCTCTGCAAAGAAAACACACTTCTCATTGGGAATGCGGAATGAACATCGTTTTCTTGGAAAGGACAAAGAAATATTACGGCAAGAATATGGCTTAGCAAGTGGTTCTCATGTCCCATCCAGGGAAAGGAAATGAATTAGCCTGAGCTTCAAAGGATTTATGGACAACCCCATAAAACAAATATACGGCTTTGGCAAGGACCACAGAGGTCCTTGTTGGCAACGCCCTTGTGAACTTTTTTTCCAATTTCAATGAATTTCAAGTCATAAACTATAAGGAAGAAGCAATTTCCCACTTAAGGAGAGTTTCACGTTATATTG